TCCCTCCCTCCCCCTCTCCCCCCCGCACGGGCGGCCATGGCGGCCGGGAAGAGCTCGTCGGCCTCCAAGGAGGACCAGTACGCGGCGCTGCGGGAGCTGTACCGGCCGCACATCGACTCGTTCGACTACTTCATCGACGAGGGGCTCGACAAGATGCTTCAGTCCATCCGCCCCGTGGAGATCACCGTCCCCAACTCCCCCACCACCCTCAGAAATATCCTTCCTGCTTTTTTTTTTTTTTACCTTTTGCTCGTCGCTTACAGTTCAGTGGACCAGTTTTTTGTGTGCTAGTACGAATTTACCAGTTTTTCCCCACCCAGCATCCAAAATTCAATTCTTATGTGCTACGAATTTACCTTAAGACAGCTCTCGTGCTTTCCGAACTTAGCTGACAAGTTGTTAATAAAGCCAACACCCAGTAGTTCCAACATAGAGTTACTAAGGCGCAGGTTTGAATTCGTTTTCACTCTCTTACGAGGACACCAATAGATGAGGTTTGGAAGGACTGCTATATTTGTGGATGCTAATTGTTTGTGTACGGAATGAACTATGGAAGTAACTTGGTTATCATCTCATTTTCCCTTAACCGTCGTCTATACTATCCTTGGAGAAAGGTCATCTGTTCCCACCAAAGAGGGATGGTCGGTTGGATGCACCGCTCTACCCCCAGCAGGTTTTGCTATATGGACTTATCAAATCCCTTTACATATCATTTTCATTTTAAACACAAGACATTTGTTTAATCTATTGAAAACTTTGGACGTTCTTTCCTGTTTGGATGAGCAGTGCAGGCAGGCACGGACGACGTATCATGGGGAATTTAAAGTGGATACTTTCATCCAATGTAATGACGGACCAGCTGTCAGGCAAACCTTCAATTTTGGTTACTTGCCTATTATGTTAATGGTTGTTACCCCTTCTTTGTTGTACTTCTTATCACATTTTTTTCGTAAGAACTTCTCTAGGTGGATTTTGGAACTTGAATGAGCGGCTGACAGCTTAGTTGAGTAGTAGCATCCACATATGAGTGCAGCTTGTTATCTGCTTTTAGGATCTAGCTTGTGTTTCTACAATTTTACATTAGTCTGGCACCCCAATAAGTCTTGGTTAAGTTCACCTGTCTCTTTGGTACAAAAGCTACTTCTGCTTCTTCAAGTCAAAAAATGAAAACTAAGCTATCTAATATGATATAGTTACCTGGAAAAAAAAGAGACTTTTCTCTATCAGTTGGGTGGAAAGAATCAAACATTATGCACTTTATTAGTGTCATGATGTTTTGTCAGTTTATAGCTTTATAATAGGCCAAAAATCTAAATTAATAAGCATGATTATGCAGTTTTTGCGGTTCAGTGCTGCTTTACAATTCTGACACTAAAATGATAAATAATAGCTGCTTTGAATAATTTATAATCAGTTGTTCGTGAAAGCTGATCTGCAATTCTGCATGCATCATACTATGCTGCAATTCTGTAGAGTTAGGAACACCCAAAGCATCGATATTAAAAAAAGTGCAGATACATCACATTTTGGTGGTAGCCATAGACAACTATTATTGTTTCTTCCTTCTGGAAGCTATGCAGGATTCATTTCACGTTCCACTTCTCTCTACACCACCTTATTTGTTCTTATTTGACCGATGGTTTTGATTTAATTAGTGTGAATTGTATTCTATTCTTGTTTATGATTTTATGCTCATGCAATTCCAGTCAAAGCTTTGCCATCTAAGAGGTGCAGATTCTGAAAAATTGATTTTCCATGGTGAAGAGGCAACAGAAATGGGCGGGTGAGTATGTTATGAACTTGTTTATTTGTTTACATTCTCTTAATTATGTCATCTTCTTCCCTTTCTATCATTTCTTAGTACACCGATCATTTAGTCTAGTCATTCAACTTGTTAAGACTACCTGTGGATCTTATTGATCGATTCATTGTGTTATGATTATATCACATTCACTCTTGATTCTTCTACTGTTACTGAACAAATTTTTTGACACTGTTTCCTATGTTAGTGTATTCATTCTGATGCATTTTGTAAAATTTTCTTTCAGGTACTTCATATGTGGTGGGATGGAGAGACTTGTACGGATTCTTATTTTACAAAAACGTAACTATGTAAGATTACTCAGCTTTTCTTTTAGATTTATGTTGCAAGGCTAATATTAGAAAAAAAAAACCCAGAGAACATTATGGCAATGAATGGTTTGGTGTGAATTTTTTCAGCCTATGGGCCTGATCCGTGGCTCTTTCGTTAATCGTGGTGCTGGGTACACTGACAAAGCAGTGATCATAAGGTGCCATATACTTGTCTATAGCTGCTTATGTTACTGAGTTTTTTTGCTGTTGCAAGTATACTTGTCTGTGTATCTAGTTGTACCTTTTTTATGTTATAATCCATATCTAGTTTTTTTTGACAGATGTGTCCAAGATGATCAGTCCAGTGTGACAATAAAGCTGTATTACCTCCTAAATGGCAGTGCAAGGCTTGGGTTCTGGTAAGTTCTGCACTGGCAAATTGTGAGTGGAAATGCTTGAGTTTCTTTTTAGTTTTTGGAACTTGATTCTTGAATTTGTGCAAAATTCAGGTTGGGAGGCAGAGAATTTCTCCTTCCTGTTGGGATTGTTCTCAAGGTATATATTTCCTTCATGGGGCTTATTGTTTTCTAACTGGAAATTGAGTTAATAAGCTTTCTTTGTGCATGATCAAGTTTTACAAATCATTGCTACTATATATTGTTGGATGATGATGCAATCTACAGTGACGACCTCAAGCCCTTTCTTGAAATATTCCATATTTTTCATTTATTGAGTAATTAAGCTGTATTTTACAAACTTTTTTTTTGTTCTAAGCGTTTCATTAATCTTTCCTCTTTCTGTAGTTTATTCTGTTACCTTACCAGATAATTTGATTTATACTCTCACTATTTTATTTAAAAAGTAATATTTTGATTGTGCTTCTATTCTTTGATATTTAGTGTAGGTTGGCAGTATTCTTAATGTAACTTTAACAGTACATTGACCTGATTGTGAATTTACAAATGATAGGCCCTAATTGATACTAGTGACCGGGAAATATTTACAAGCTTGACATGCTGCTACAGTGATCATTATGAAAGAGGAAAGGGAGTTGTCAGCACTCAACTTATTGGTGAAAGGGCACAAATAATTCTTGACGAAGTCAGAGACCTGTCTCTTTTTACTCGCACAGAATGCTTGTTGCATCTTGGTATCTGAGAGTTTAATTTGTTCTATTTGCACAAATTTTTGAATCCTTCTTAGTCACTGACATCGATAATTATCTTTGAAATGCAGGAAAGTACTTCCGATCTGTGATGGAAGGATTTGAGAAAGATGATTTTGAAACTGTAATATTGGATGTTTAATCTGCATTTGTCTTTGCATGTTGTTGAAATTTGGATCGCTTCACTTTGGTCATTCCACATTGTGTAGGTTGCTGAGGCAGTTCTTAAGGACTATATTTTTGTTCACCTGCAAAACAACCATGACAAATTTAATTTATTGATGTAAGTTGAAGTTTTATTGCTCTTTTCTGTGAATTTCTATCCTTTTGAACCTCTTTAATGATGTGTATCTCTTATTACTTTTCACTTCTTAGATTTATGCTGCAGAAACTTTATGCGATTGTAGATCAAACTGCGTCACCTGATAAAGCTGATGCTCTACAGTACCAGGAAGTTCTCTTGCCTGGCCACCTGATAACAGTTTTTCTAAAGGTCACTAAACCCTCTGCCGTCAAGCTCATGACCTTTTTTTTTTCCTTTTTGAAAATCAACTCCATAGTACTACAAAAATGGCATTCAATGTTATGTGCTTAGTAAAAACAATACTATAACATAAAATAGCATAAGTTTTTTGTCTTAACCTTTCTACCCTTGTTCAATTCTCTGCCTCTACCTTCTCTGTTACATATTTGCATGGACTGCTGGACCATGACCAATTGACCAGTGTTAGTTACAAGATGGATGTTTTTAAACTGCTTGGAGCTGGTGCTGATGTGTTCCTTCAAGCATAGGTGCTAAGGTAGAACAGGTCATCCAGCACATACTATGTTGATAGCTTGAGCTAGTAGTCCTTTGCGTTCATATTGACTACTACCTCCGTCCCAAAATATAAGGGATTTTGGAATCCCTTATACTTTGGAACGGAGGTAGTACTTATTTCACGCTCCTAGTATGGTACAGAAGATCTAGGTTATTAACAGTGTAGGCATGGTAGTGGTTACAGGTAGTACGAAGATGTTTTTCACCCAATTTTGCTAAGGTAGTGAGTTAAGTCATATTTTGCTTCGCACTTTTGCTGTGCCTTTGAGCTTATTTTTTTATTCTATTTGTTTCATCTTTGTTCCCTGTGAGCATCGCTTGACGCTGGTTCTTTGATGTCCTATTTTATGGCTGAGATTTTGTTGGTGTTGCTTTTGATTTCTTTTCTGACATCCAGTTCTGTTTTCCTAACTCTTGTTTTTCTTTCCTATCATCTCCAGGATAGACTTCAAGATTGGTTGAGAAAGTCCAAACGGTTAATTGTTGAAGAGGCTACAAAAAATAAAAGCTTTGATCTCAATGACTGTATGTTTACTCTATCCATGTTTTTATACAGGAACCCTTTTTAGTTGACCTGTGTTTCTGAAGTATACTACATCGATACTAGAATCCACTAATGATCCATCAGCGAGTGAATGCTAGTGATCTTTGCATTCATATGATCCAACAAGTCTTCATATGGCCAGAGACCCAGAGTTGTTTATGGGTTCCAACATCTGGTGTACTCTTTATAGGAGTGGACGAGGGGTAGCCTACTATCACCACTGTTGTTATTGTCTTAGGAACCAAGGTCTAGACATGCTTGTTGGGACTAATTTCCATAGGAATAAGATCAGTTTGGTTAGTATCACCTATTTCCATAATATTAGTTACTCCCTTTGTCCCAAAATATAGCAACCTAGTACTGGATTAGTCACCACCTAGTATTATGAATCTGGACAGAGAGGGGTTGGACAGAGGGCTCTGTCCATATTCGTAGTGCTAGGTGGTGTCTAATCCAATACTAGGCTGCTATATTTTTGGATGGAGGGAGTAGTATATATGTTAATTAGTATCCTATATTTTATAGAATTTTTTGGTTTAGATAGCAAGTTAAATATTTGATTTGTTTGGAAGTTAGAGATTTTATTCTGGAGGGTCAAGTTAAAGGGACATCAAGAGTTATTGAGACATCTAGTGGAAAGCCTTGCTGGCTGATGAGGATTGGGGGTAGGGTTCTCATAGCGAGGACTGGGTGTAGGTCATCTAACTGCTGTTTTGAGTCTTCAACTTTTGATTCTCTTGGCTGAACTATAATGGGTGCGTAGTGTCCTGTTTTTAGGAAGCCTGGCTTGATCCTTAAGAATATAATTTCTACCATCCTAACAAACCAAATCTCTAACTTTCTATCTGAACAGATTACATTTTAACATTATAGAAATTGCTGGTACTGACCAATCTAATCTTATTTGCAATGAAACTAATCACTTATAAACTACTAACTTGTTGCTGCAGTCATCACGCCTAGACCTTGGACCCCTAAACAGGCTTTTGTCTAATAAATCGTGTTGCATGAACACTGCATTCTCTGCATTTATGGCTAGTATTGGTAGTTGTACAAGTATGCTAAACTCTTGAACTAGTAATCATTAACATGACGGATCAGAAACTACAGACCACAAGATTAATCCTAACAGCAGATCCCATAAAAATACCAGCTACAACTTTTATAACAGTTACGACTATTTTTCTTTTGTGCAGCACAGGAGGTCAGGAAATTTCTCAGTAAAACTTCAGCATATGTTGGCAAAGCTATTCAGAGTATGATAAAGGTCGGAAAAGTAAATTCACAATCAGGGCTAGATCTGCCACAGGTGCATCTCTTACAAATGCTTACTGCATCTGGTATTTTAAATAACATTTGGCGATAATATACTGGCAAAGTCATATAGCATAAAAACACATCGTGATGCACTAATTGTAAAAACAACAAAGAACTAAATCAATTTGCAGTGAAGTGATTTATAGTTTACTCACCTTTTCGTGAGGTATATATTTTTTCTCGTGAGTGAATTTGTCGATGGTTTTCCTTGTTTGCTCTGGTTTATTGCATCACACTCTCCCTTGCATGTCTAAGTAACTTCCCTAGTAACTATTATCTCTTCTTTCAAAGGTATTTGAGCAGGGATATCATGTCCACCCTCCTATTTTTCGACCTTAATTCTTTTTCACACTCAATTACACCTATTAATTTCTGAGGGAATATTAAAAATTACGTAATGCTGTGTATATGTCAACCCTTCAAGTAAGTTTTCAAGATGAAAGATAACAATATGCAAAATGAATTACGTCAAAAACTGAAAACGATCTGTTCAAAAGTATCACTGCTCACTACACATTATATTGAGTTACAGCAGAAGGTATCATGCTGCGGCAGCACAGTGCTGGAGATGGCCATGGGGTACCGGCCACTAACCCACCGCTTCAATGCTGGCTATAGGCTGTTTTGAAATAATGAAGGCATCACTTACCCACAATTTACATTTTAGTTTTTCAGACAATATATCCCAAGTAATTTGTTGGTAACTGATTCCTTCTCTTCTGATTAAGAGATGCTTGACACGAGTCACAGATTATGATATATGTTCGTAGTAAAATCTCTTGGCAAGAACGTTCATTTTCAGTTAAGTTCAATGTTGTTTGTGTTCACAGTCCTCTCAGATCATTTTTATATGTGATAAGCACCTTTTAAATTTGCAGCGAGATGGGATGACCATTCATGCTGAACGGCTCAACTTTCATCGTTATATTTCGCATTTCCGGTCTGTGCATAGGGGTTCTAGTTTTGCTAAAATGCGTACGACATCTGTGAGGAAGTTGCTTCCAGAGTATGTTAAACTACCTTACCAATTTATTGTTCTTGTCTTGCTCCGATATTGCTTGTACTGAAAATTATCATGTAGGTCATGGGGTTTCCTCTGTCCTGTTCATACACCTGATGGAGAGCCTTGTGGTTTACTGAACCATATGACTTCCACATGCCGTAAGAAACTGCTACACTAAATGCTGTTGTGTGTGTGTGTGATTTTCATTTTGGGGGAGAGTGTCATCAGTTAAATTTGGAATGTACAGGTATTTCATCCTTTTACAACTCAGAAGGGGCAACTAAAGATTTTCAGAAAATAAAGATGTCACTTATTGCTCGTTTGGTTGGCGCTGGAATGGCCCAACTGTTGCCGAGGATAGAGCGAACTGGTCCTCCAGAAGTCCTACATGTCCATGTGGATGGATGCATTGTTGGTTCCATCGCTTCTGCTAAGATTGAAGAAGTAGTAAATCATCTTAGAAGTTTAAAATTGCTTCCACATTCAGGGGTCTGCTCTCTAATACTGCTGTTATTTTTCCTAGATAGTTTATTTTTCCTCAAGTTCTATCTCATATCAGTGCTTTTAATTCTGTTTAGATTCCAGAGGATTTGGAAGTGGGTTATGTACCCTTAAGCCATGGTGGGGCTTATCCTGGACTATACCTTTTCACCAATCCAGCTAGATTTCTTCGTCCGGTCAGAAGTCTCTTAGGTCTATCCAATGGAGGGCCAAATATTGAGCTGATTGGACCATTTGAACAGGTTCCCTTTTATCCACTTCAATGGTCCTATATTAGTTTATTATTACAAGATGACTAATTTTTCATTCTACATTAGGCATTCATGGAAATACGATGCCCTGATGGTGGGGATGGTGGAAGAAACAAATTATTTCCTGCAACTCATGAAGAAATCCACCCTACAGCCATTCTTAGTGTAGTTGCAAATTTGACACCTTGGTCTGATCACAATCAAAGTCCTCGGAACATGTACCAATGTCAGGTCAGTAGCCAGATCTTCCCTTACTGTAAATCAATTTCTCATGCATAATGAAAATTGCTCACGCATAATGAATGCTGAGACCTTTTTTTTCTAGACCTGCTAACCTGCTTGCTTGTTCACAGATGGCAAAGCAAACCATGGGATTCTGTGGCCAAGCTCTAAAATTCCGTACTGATGTAAAAGCATTTCATCTACAGGTTTGTTTTCCTGTGCAATAATTACTAACCAACTATCATTAGCTACACTTCTTTGGTTGTTAGAAGTTGCTCTATTTCTGTTGAATATGTACCTGCCCAATAACATGTTGACAACCTTAGGAGCAAATGGTTTGTGCCATGTAAAGATAATTTGTGGTTCTGTTGTATCAAGTGTTTTAATTGGTACTATTTTCATTTATTGGTGGCAGATGTATGTCATCCTGCTCTTGGCAGGTTTGCTAATTTTGTGCCTTTTGAAATTGTCCCAAAATCAATGAAATTGTCTGTTTCTAAGTACTTAATTATGTGACAACATATCATGCAGAAATGATTGCATTGAAAATCCTTTTTTATAACCAGTCAGGTGGCTCATATAAATATTTTTTCAGACCCCTCAGACACCAATTGTCCGGACAGCTACATATAGCAAGTATTGCATGGATGAGTTCCCATCCGGAACAAATGCTATTGTTGCGGTGCTATCATACACAGGGTGAGCATTTCATTATGTTGTGTAATGATCATTTGTTTGAACTTTAACATGATAAAATCATAGAACTGGTATTGCAATCTAGGTATGATATGGAGGATGCCATGATTTTGAATAAATCCGCTGTTGATCGTGGGATGTTCCGTGGGCATATTTTCCAGGTAAGTAAATGTTTTTTCCCCTTTTTTGGTGACTCTTGAAGATATCTCATTAACACTAATAAGAATTTAATGTCAAAATGTGTATCGAATGGCATACGCACATCTTTAATGTACTCTCCATCCCAAATTTTGATGGGATGCCTTTTTCTGGGCATCTGAATCATTACCCATTGATCTATTTTGAGATTTGTGGCTTTAACCTGGGTATCTTTTACACAAATATATGCGACATTTCAGTTCTGCAAAATATTGAATCCATATTTGATTTATTTTTGTGAAACTGCAGTTGCATTAATTTGAAAGTAGTTCAATAAGTTTTCTTTCTTCAAAAGTTGCTATTGATTGTAAAGATGTATCAGACAGTTCTTGACGTGGATGTTGGTGCCTAGGCATCCAAATATCAAAATTAGTTTACCTATCTATATTTTATATTTGAATAATCCTGAGCATTAGATTTGGATTCTTCAATTCGGAATGCCATCTCAGTATGCACGTTTAGTATCCACCAACAGAGAGTACCTTTGGAAAAATCTTGATTGGATGATCTAACTTGGTATAGATTGAACCTTAAGTTTGACAAAACCTAAAATTAGTTTCTTTTATCCTTTGTACTCTTTCTGCAGACTGAGTGCATTGATTTATCAGCAAAAAGTAGAGATAATGTTACGGAGTTCTTTTGCAAGAGTAATCTTTCGAGGGACACTACCGCTGCAATCGAATCAGATGGCCTTCCTCGGATTGGAGAGGTAGTTATGTGCTCGTACTAAGTTAATTTTTTACCATGTGGAGAAGTGGTAGCAGTGTAATTTCTTCTTGACGATATTCCCCGTACTCAAATGTATGTGTATGAAACAGAACATATTTCCAAATGAGCAGTACTACAGCGTCTGTAACAATCTCACTGGTACAGTAAGGCCTATCAAACTGAAGGGCTCAGAACCTGCAGCTATTGATTATGTTGCTGTCAATGGGACAAATTTTAAGGATCGTCTACAAAAGGTGAGGCCATGGCCACCTCCAGTATCCTGTGCTGGATGAAATTTATCTTCGGCAATAATGTGTGGATATCCCTATTCACCTTGTTAAAAAAGGGCAGACTAAGTGCCTGTGTTTGTTTAAATGCAAGAAAAAAGTGAAATACCTTCAGTTTCTTTAAACTACAAAAAAACCCAGCCTCTTTTGGAACCAATGAACTTTAGTATGTTACACAATGCATTTCTTGAATGTTAGTAGGATTATTGTTTGTGAAAGTGTGTTCTAATTTGTTTTTTGTCATCTTGGCATGCTTTTCACTACTGCATGTTTTTGTCAGGCTAATATTCGTCTGCGTCGCGTGAGAAATCCTATAATTGGTGACAAGTTCAGCAGCAGACATGGTCAAAAGGGAGTTTGTTCGCAGTTGTGGCCTGATATTGATATGCCATTCTCTGCTAATACTGGGATGAGGCCAGATCTCATCATTAATCCCCATGCATTTCCTTCACGAATGACTATAGCAATGCTCTTAGAGTCGATAGCAGCAAAGGTACAAACTTCTTTCATAGGTTGAGAGAAGCTTGCATTTTTTTCTTCATTTTGAAAGAAATATCATGATTGTTGCGAGAGAGAGACAGAGATTCCTTGTTTCCAATTCTTCTCATTTAAGTATGATAGCGTCTTGGTACTTTCTTTACTCACTGAAGTCTTGTCTTCACAGGCCGGAAGTCTGAAAGGGAAGTTCATTGATGCAACGCCTTTTGCAAGCTCAGTTAAAGAGAGATCAAATTCCATTGTGGATGAACTGGGACCCATGCTTGCTTCTTATGGATTTAATTACCATGGAACAGAAATTCTATATAGTGGAGTTTTTGGCACTGAGATGAAATGTGAGATTTTCCTTGGACCTGTATACTATCAACGCCTTCGTCATATGGTCTCAGACAAATTTCAGGTGGGCAATCATTATTTGTGTACCATCTTATTATGTATAGTTAAAGTCGTTATCTGGCTTATTTTTCCTCCTTTTCTATTCGATATCGGATTGAAGATCTCTACAATGCTATGCATCAAAAGTATTCATTGCTCTATTTATCTAGTCACCAATGTTTCCACACTATTGCTTGTAGATTCTCATGGATGTGTTGGGTTTCGCAGGTTCGTACCACAGGGCGAATAGATCAGATCACAAGACAGCCAATAGGAGGAAGGAAATACGGTGGAGGGATTCGGTTCGGTGAGATGGAGCGAGACGCGCTTCTCGCTCATGGTGCCTCTTACCTCCTACATGACAGGCTCCATTCCTGCTCCGACTACCATATCGCGGACGTGTGCTCCATCTGCGGGAGCTTGCTGACGGCGACGGTGATCAAATCCGAAAGCCAGAAGAAAGCCAAGCGCGACATGCTCGGGCTCCCCACCGTAAAACCTCCCAAGAACTTTGCCTGCCAGGCCTGCAAAACAAGCAAAGGGATGGAGACCGTCGCCATGCCTTACGTCTTCAGATACCTGGCCTCCGAGTTGGCGGCCATGAACATAAAGTTGGAGCTTCGGCTCAGCAATAGAACAGAGCATCCTACTACTACCAGCGAAGAATCCTGAATGATTTGTCTTGGTAGATCTACTCTGAAGATATTATAATCACTGGTTCATCTGGAGCTGGCAGGGCACAAGTGTGCAGTCATGCCATCCGCGGCAGTGTCCTGGGGGATACTGAGAAGTTTTGCTTAGAGGATGTCTCCAGTTTTGTTGTGTGTCACTGCTGTTTTGTTTCATGAAAAGGCAGAGTCTGTTGTATCAAAACATCAATGATTATACCAATTTTATAACATTAGACGTAACTGAACTTGTGTGCATTGCAATGACACATCTGAAATAGTGAAATACGAAGCTTTATTCGAGAGATTTGGCAACACCGGTTCCCTCTTCTGAAGTGATATATGTGTTGTGAAAAAAAGATTACTCCCTCGGACCTAAAAAAAAATCAACTTAGGAGGGGATAACCATATATCTAGACATATGACTGTCTAGATATATTTGTTCTAGGAGGAGTCACATCCTCTCCTAGATTGATTATTTTTTGAATGGAGGGAGTAATATTTGGTCTCTGAAAATGACGATCGTAAATTTATAATGAAAAATACTTTCGTATAAAGTAATGATCGATACGTGATGCCCAAAACCTAATTTTGAAAAAGAAACGTAGAACACAGTAGACGGAGGGAGTATATCGGAATGACCCCTCGAGATTAAACTGGGCCCACTCATGAGTGGGCTTAGGCCCACAGTTCTTGCTGTATCAGTATAATGGGCCGGGCTTAAAACTCCCCTTCCTCCTCCACCCGCCATCTCTCTTCAGTTCCCCAACCCGCCGCCGCCGCCTCCACTAGGGCACGCCGCCGCCGCCGCCGCCTCCACTAGGGCACGCCGCCGCCGCCGCCGCCGCCGCCGTCAGCCATGTCGGACTCCGACGAGTACGGTGCGTTCCCCGCCGCTTCTTCTCCTCGTCCTCTCCTCTATGCACTGTTTGTGTTAGTTTTGACAACGTTTGGCTTTGCTGGGTTTAGTCGACTTGCCCGTGTCGGATGAGGAGGAGTGGGAGGATGGGGAGTCGGAGGAGGACGAGGAGAAGGTGGGCTCTCGTAAGAAGGCCAAGGTTCACGCGAAGCAGCTCAAGAGGCTCCAGGAGAAGGTTCGTCTCCGTCCTCGCCGTCTCCTACGATTCGCGCACCCTTCTCCCAAGCTTATATTGCTTACTATTATTACTTGTTACTAGTAAGCATCAAAAGTAGCATCTGAATTGCTCGGCTCCATTCCATATGTAATGCCTATGTTGATTTAGCTTTGGGCTGTTTATACTAGGATTGGGGATTCTGGTATGTGTTTTTTATTCTGGTATGTGTTATTCTGGTATGTGTTTTTTATTCTTATATTTATACTAGGACTGAGCACGCAAGGCAGTGAATGTTAGAAGGTATATTGCATGCTTAATAGGTGGATATTGGCTCGCTCTCGTATGCATTTGGTAAACTTGTCTGGTTGGCCCTTGTTGATTGATTTTATTGATTTTGGAAATGGACTGCAATCTTCCGAGTTTTACACGCGGAAGTTTGTGCAGAGTACTGAATAGTGACGTGGTTGCTGCAAATAAGTACTATAAGCAAGGCATACAAGTTCCTTAACAAATATAATGATATATTTTAGCCATTCTGATCATTTTGAAGAAGGTGATGGTAAACTAAATCTCAAGTTCTGATTGTGCATTTGGTAATCAGGGCAAGTACTATAAGCCCCTATTTATTGCCCATAAATTTGCCACATAGGATTAGATGATGAGTTGGAGGAGAGAAGTTAGGAGAGAGAGAATGAGCCATCCCTCATGCAAGGGGCAACCTCCACACAATCTCCAAGAAAAATGTAAGATGACGTGAGAGTAAACTAATATTGGGGTTTGTGTACTAGATGTGACATGTTGTATTTGTTACCTCTTAAGTAATGAGAAGATGACATGGTTTAAATTAGATGTGGCACTCACCTCCACTATAAAACTTGCCCTCAGGAAGCTAGTTGTAATGTCATAGGGATTGCTGGTATGTAAAGAGTACTTTTGATATCTAGAATTACGTAGCTCAGTACTGTTATGATTTTTTTCTGCTTACGTTGGATTTATAGCTGTTTATACATAAAGGTAGTTCTACAGTTCTACTTGCACTTTTAGTGTGGAATAACCTATGGCTCTGGTTTAGCGGCCCTGGCATTGCAATTGGGACAGATGAAACTGAAGAAATCATATGTGTTAAGCACATCCAGATTCCAGTTTAAGTACTTTCAGATTAGTTGCTTGCACTTTGAACTAGCCCTCTTTTTTGGAATAAAGAACATGTTATTGACTCGACTTTTGGACAGTCTTATTCTAAAAATAATTGATACTTTTTGTTTCCTGGTAGTGACCATTAGACGGCTTTTTACAAATTTAGATGATAATTATCATTGTTCAATTTATTGCTGAAATTCTTATCTGTATGCATCATTGTTAACACTGCAACAACCAGGAAGTTTTTCTTGAGCTAATCATTTCTTCCATCCCTAGTTCTTGTCATATCTGTGCTGCTGTATTCTGTCAGCTGCTTACGATGGCTGCAAAACTCTTATTTGTAGGATCCTGAGTTCTACAAGTATTTGGAAGAGTGTGATAAAGAGCTTCTGGAATTCGACGATGATGACTTTGATGTAACACAAAACTATTTATTCATTTATTTTGCATTTTTTTTTCTTCTTGCTTGAGAGAACTATATACATTGTATGTTTGCTGCATATTTTGTTTAGGATAATGAAGGAAGTGCTGAGAAACATAGTTCTGTTCCTAAAGAAGAACCGAAAGAAATTGTAAAGCCTATTACAATGCAAATGGTTGATTCCTGGTGCCAAGGAGCAGAAGATGGGAAGATAGGTTCTATCCGGTCTATTCTCGAAGCATTCCGGAAAGCCTGCCATTATGGTGAAGAAAGTGGAAATAATTCTGCACCGAAATTTAGTGTCATGTCTGGCAGTGTACTTGACAAAGTCATGCACTTTGTTTTGAAAAACATGGATAGAATCCTTCGTGAATTACTTGATGCACCTAGCTTTGGGGGGAAGAAAGAGACAGTTAGTGAGCTGATGATTACTAAGCAATGGAAGAGGCATGGGAGATTAATGAGGTTATACCTTGTAAATGCACTCCACATGATAACAGAGTTGACTGATGAGCAAATGGTAGCATTTACTGTACATCGTGTCAGAGCTTCTGCTGTTTTTCTGGCGGCCTTCCCTGCACTCCTCAGGAAGTATGTAAAGGTTTGTAGCTTTGGCTCCTCATCCATCTTTAGTAACCTTTCGTGTCATCTGATGTCTCTGCAGAGTTTGTAATTTCTTTTATTTTCACTTGACTAATTCGATTACAGGCTCTGCTGCATACCTGGTCTAGAGGACGAGGTGCTATGCCTCTTGTTTCATTTTTGTTCCTTCGAGATTTGTGCATTCAACTAGGTTCGGAGTGCCTTGATACGTCCCTCAAGGGTATCTACAAGGCTTATTTGGTGAACTGTAAATTGTCCAAATCAATCAGTGGATCAAAATTGCAGCACATTCAATTTCTTGGTAATTGTGTCAGAGAATTGTACAATGTGGACCCACAAAGTGCATATCAGCATGCTTTTGTTTTCATCCGTCAACTGGCAGTCATCCTAAGGGGAGCTCTTACTGAAAGAGGACCAAAGGTATGTGTAGTTGAACTCTGATGATCATATACTGCAATGTAATTATTTACTTGGCAGCTGACAAGTTTTGTGGTCCCTATTTCATTTTGCAAGACATCGAAGGACAAAAAGCAGAAAGAAAGTATCAAACCAACGAAGAAACGGATGGAGGTATGTCATTATTCCAATGTTGCATATGTACTATCGAGGAATAGAGTCCACTTTGGGATAACACTATTGCTTTCTTTCTTATGTTAGTTTAGTTTTACTCTCTATTCTATATTCTATTACTCTAACTGAGCCTTTCTTTTCTGACTTGTTATTTGCTGACCTTGTTCTTGTGTAGAAATCCTACCAAAAAGTTTATGATTGGCAATACATATTCTGCCTTGAGCTTTGGACAAGTGTTGTGTGTGGATGTAGTTCTGAGGAAGACCTTCGACCTTTGGCTTATCCACTAACCCAGATAATACATGGTGTGGCATGCCTGGTACCAAGTGCGCGTTACTTTCCTGTACGCCTGAGATGTGTGAAGATGCTTAATCGCATTGCTGAAGCTACTGGTACCTTCATTCCGGTGTCTTCCCTGCTGCTTGATATGCTGGAAATGAAAGAACTTGGAGGGAAACCAGATGCTGTAGGCAAAGCAGTGAATCTGTTCAGTGTTAAACAGGTATATTTTCTCGTAATACAACACTTCCTTTGGGAGGACTACTTTGAAAAAACTTTTAATAGGTACTTTTGTCTGGCAGGTAGATAAGAAAACAGTGAAGACACGTGCCTTTCAGGAAGCATGCATCTTTTCCGCGGTTGATGAGTTGGCTAAGCATTTGGCCCAATGGAGCTACTCCATTGCCTTCTTTGAGATGTCCTTTTTAACACTTGTCCGGCTTCAAAACTTTTGCAAAACCGTTAAGGCTGACAGATTCCGGAGAGAGATCAAAGATCTTATCCATCAGGTTTGTGAAGCATGTAAGAGAGAATTGTACCTAACTGAATGCATGTATGCTGATGTTTGTATCCTTTGTGATTCCAGATAAAGGCTAGTGCTGAGTTTGTAAGCTCAAAGCGTGCAGGAATTGGATTCTCTCCTAATGATCCAGCCGTGGATTCATTTCTACAGGTATGGTTGGTCCTGTTGGATGTGCACTGTATATTTGTTATACTCATTTAGTGTCATTTTGTGAGATATATAATGTTCATTTCAGGTTGAGAAGGAAGCAAAGTCAAGTCCTCTATCAAAATATGTTGCTACTCTACATCAGAGAAGTCAGGACAGGATGGACTCTCTGGACGACACAAGGTTGGTTACTTGGTTTCATTGATGTTCATCTAAATTTAGGAGTCAGCCAGTTGAGTCGTAGCACTTATAAACAGAAATGCACCAATTTTTTTTTACCTCGTCGTCTTATCATGCAACATTTTCTAGTAGTCTTTACATGTGAGTGGAGCTATGCTTGATGCTCCATATTGCGAGTACATATAATTAATAAAATTACTGATCATTCTTTTCCCTATCAGCGTTATTGTGGGGGCAGAGTCCTCAACCTTTTCACGGAGGTTGTCAGAAGCACAGAAGCGACAGGATGAACAAGATGATGGCGAAGACACCATTGCATTCAGTAAGAACTTGTTGACTGAAAAGAAGAAAACCAAGTACGCTATCACCTTCCTCTTTGCCTCTTTTTGTTTCTTTTATTGGAATGGTAGACGTTATATGTTTCCTTTCGGGGGTTTGCAGAACTCCAAAGGAGAAGAGCAAGAAGCGAGCCCATAATCACGACGATGTCGCTACGGAGGAGGATATTGTTGAGGATTTGATCTTGAGTTCAGACGAGGAAGACGAAGATGAGGACAAGAATATGGAATCAGATGAGGATGATGGCTCTATGCCTGTTGAAGATGACAGCGATGACGATTTCGTCGACCCAGACAGCCAGTGGAAGAAACAGAAGAAAGAGAAATCAAAGAAACGGAACAAGCGGCAACCCTCAAAGAAGGGTTCGTCAACAACAAAAAGAAAAGAGAAAATCCCACATCCCAAGAAGAAGGCGAAGCATTAGCCAGAGATAATGAAAACGATGATGATGTGTTTTCAATTTTGAAAGAAACAGACGCATCATGAAAATTTTGTTTTAATTGAGAAAGACCTCTGCCATTTCGTTGCGTTCCTTCACCGTTATTATTTATTTATGTATGCTTAATCGTTCAGCTTGGCTGATGTTGTTGATTTTGCTCCATACATTTTTCTTTCTGGCAGATTGTGTGCTGAGTTAAACAAGTGATAATTTCCTTGGGGAAAAAAAAGAGAACGCGAAAATAGTATTGAACAGGCTACAACCTTTGTAAGACATGAAATCAGTCTTAACTAGTGCGAATCATGGGGATATTCCACTACTTTGCACGGCTTAAATTATTGTCCATGAATCGGTGGACCTGTGATTTTCAGTTCTGATTGTAAACTGGTACTAGCATATGAAGCTACATTTGACCAAGCCATGAGAAAAATTAGGACTAATTCCTTTTTCTAAAACAAAATCTCCACGACTTTAGATCACTGATAATTCAGTAGGGGAGAACAACGAGCCTCATTATTTCAATTTGCTCCGTTGCCAAAGTTATTCACACCATTATATATCAACGCTAACTTAATTAAGAGCTCCCTTGTCTTAACACTAGCCCTTGACATTTGTCTTAACACTAGCCCTTGGCATTTGCAAAGCTCTGTACAATTAACCTAAACCATAAAAATATTTTCAAACCATATAATATTTTCAACTAAACAATACTGCTACCTCCTTTTCATATTATTAGTTGTTTTGACTTTCTTCTAGTCAAACTTTAGGTTCAATCAAGTTTGTAGAAAAATTTAACATCTACAGCACCAAATTAGTTTCATTAAATACAACATTAAATATATTATGATAATATGTCTGTTTTGTGTTGAAAATATTGCTAAGTTTTTTTATAAATTTAATTAAACTTAAAATTAAAACGACTTATATATAATACTAAGTATCATGTAAAAAAATATTGAACTAAACCGATTATAAGCAGCGTGATGGAAATTCCAGCCGTTGACAATGTCCAACCACGGCCGTGTGGGCCCCACTCCACACGCTTCCCTTCTTCCCGCCCCCGCCACGATACGAAGTTTACAAACAGAACAGCAGCCTCGCTTAATCCTTCTCCGTCACGTACTTAATTACCACCTTTTTTACTTAACTTAATCCAACTCCTAATCATCCCATTGCAATATGTCTGTTTTATTACTACGTTTCGTCGCGTTCAGCTCTCGATCGATTACGAGAGCCATGAAGTCGCCGTTCCGACGCGCGGCGAGCGCGCCGGCGCCGGCGCCGGCGCCGATGCCGATGCTGTCGTTCGCGGGCAAGAGGCCGAAGCACTTCACGCTTCAGGACAGCTCGGCGGCGGAGAGGGACGCCGACCTGGAGGCGTTCATGCGCGCGCGCCGCCTCGTCGTGGTGTCGTCGTCGGAGAGGGTCGCCGGCGACCTCCGCGCGTACCTGCGGAGATCGAGGCGGTCGCCGGCCCGCGGTTCGACGCGGCGGTGAGCAGGGCGGTGCCGCCGTCGTCGTCGCAGCTCGGGATTGCCTGGCAGGACGACGCGGCGGCGGCGGCGGCGGGGGGATGGCACAGGTGGAGTACGGCGGGCGCGGCGGCGTGCCAGTGGCACACGTCGCTGGTGACCGAGCGGGAGGTGGCGATGTTCGCGCTCGCGGCGGAGTCGGCGCGGGCGGCGGCGGCGGAGGACAGGCGCGGTGCGGACGGGATCCGGCGGGCGTGCGCCGCGCTCTGCGATGCGGCCGGCGCGCTGAGGGAGGCGGCGGGCGGAGCCGACGCTGGCGCCGCGACGGGCATGTCGCCCGCGCGCGTCGCGGCGCTGGAGGGCCTGATGCTGGCGTAGGCGCTGGAGTGCTACTTCGAGCTCGCCGTCGCCGGAGGGAGGCCGCCGGCGCTGTGCTCGATGGTGGCGAGGCAGGTGAGCCTGGACTACGGCGACGTGCGCGCCGCGCTGGAGGCCCCCGAGCTGCGGCGGCAGCACGCCGACCACCGGCAGTGGGCGGCGCACGCGGAGGCGAAGGCGGCCTACTTCGCCGCCGAGGCGTGCCTCCGGGCGGCGCGCGAGCGGCGTGCCGAGGGAGACGTCGGCGTGGCGATAGCGCGGCTGAGGCAGGCGGCGGCGACGCTCAAGGGATCGAAGCCTCTCAAGAAGGCGGCGCGCCGGTGCACGCCGCCGCCAAGTGGCTGAAGCGGGAGGTGGAGGCCGAGCTCGCCGGCGCCGAGCACGACAACGGCATGATCTACTACATGGCGGTTCCGGCCAACGGAGAGCTCGCCGAGCTGCCCGGGCTGCAGCAGAGGCTCGTCCAGCCCACCCCATTGGAGAACATCCTGCAGCAAGGAACGCACGGCGACGGCGGAGCTCCGGCGGCCGGCGGCTAGCCGCCGTCGCGCGCGTAGCTGAAGTAATGGACATTGCTGTTCATAGTGTATTTGTTACATTGAATCGAGAGTTTCGAGACGTTGGCACGTTGCATTTCATGGAGGCCTGTCTCAAAAGGTGGATTTGTTTTTTTTTAAAAAAAGAAATTGCTACCGGACACTCAAAAATCATGTAATTGACTGAAAGACACAACAAAAATGTGAAACTGTCGATGAAAACTACAAAAGTTGTGTAATTAGTTGTAGGACACCCGGAGGCATTATTTTATAATTTCCGGGCTGAAAGAGAGGAGATAAATTTCGTAATGACGGGAATACCCCCCACTACTCCTTCCTTTCTTCTCGATGCAGCGGACATGTAGGCCCGCGCACAGTGTTGTCCTTCCTCCTCTTGCCAGCGCTCCACTCCAAATCCTCTATCATCCATGGCCCAACCGACTGCTACCTTCACATCTTCACCCTCACCGCCCCTGTCCTTTGCCTTCTCATCTCGCTCCGGCCTCAGTGGTGACGCTAGCGGTCGCCTTCGTCGTCGTATCCTATGCCGCCCTCCTTCTGCTGTTCGCATGCCTCTGCGTCTACGAGCGGCGCCGGCGAGGGCGTGGCTCACGTGTGCGGTATGGGCAGCCTCCATGCTACTCACCACCATGTTCGTATGGAAGGTCGCGGCGCTCATGCTGTGGCCCGTGGTTGCCGTGGTGTGGGGGCTCTCCATAGTCACCGTGCTCGACATGGTTTACCACAGAACTTTACTCAAATCCGAGCGATTTTGATCGAGATTTCAAAATGGAATCTTGAGGGCAATCGAAGAGTAAAGTGAGAGCATCAAATCCCCTCAGCCTATTCTGGAAAAATGCGAGGGAATCGATTGGATTTTAGAAGGGATGCAACGGCGTTGGTCGGCGTTGGACGATGGCGAGAAGAGGACGACGATACTGTACGCGGGCCCACATATCAGCTGCATCCAGAAGATAGAAAAAAGTAGAGGGGGCATTCCCGTCATTTCGAAATTTCTCTCCCCATAATTCCTCCCCTATCGTTTTTTCCTTCTTTTTTTCCAGGTAGAGCAGAGGGAACAGAGGAGCGGGGCACTGGTGCTCCGGTGGCTGGGAGGTGGCGACGTCGGCGGCCGAATGTGTTCCCGAGCGCCGCGCTGGAGAGCCCCGAGCTGCGACGGCATCACGCCGACTACCGGCCGTGGGCGGCGCACATGGAGGCAAAGCCGGTCTACTTCGCGTCGAGGCGTGCCTCCGGGCGGCCCGAGCTGCAGCAGCAGCTCGTCCGGCCCACCCCAATCTGGGCCGATTGGGCCGATCTCAGCCTCCCGGAGCGGAGACCGATCTGGGCCGTCCATCCGCGCCGCCCAGCCAATCGGACGGTGGGTGTATTACTGTACTGCCAGGTCGGTGACCGTACAAGCCGGAATATTCAGTAGCGTCGTTCGCTCCCTGGCTTCTCCATTTCTTCAGCTCCGCCGCCGGCGGCGGCGGCGGCGGCGGCAGGCATGGCGCGCCGTGTCACCACCCTTACCCGCGCCCGCACCCGCGCCCGCGGCGGCGGCGTCCCCAGCGCGCAGGGTGGTACGACCCAAGACCTAGGGCGCGCGGGGGGCAGTGGCACCGAGGGCGCACGCCACGTGCTCGACGAATTGCCGCTACGGGGCTGGGGCGCCTCGATCTACAGCTTCAACCGCACCCTCACCGACGTCGCGCGTGACAGCCCAGCCGCAGCAGTTTCGCTCTTCAACCGCATGGCCCGAGCCGGCGCCGACGAGGTAACTCCCGACTTGTGCACCTACAGCATTCTCATCGGTTGCTGCTGCCGCGCGGGCCGCTTGGACCTCGGTTTCGCGGCCTTGGGCAATGTCATTAAGAAGGGATTTAGAGTGGAAGCCATCACCTTCGCTCCTCTGCTCAAGGGCCTCTGTGCCGACAAGAGGACGAGCGACGCAATGGACATAGTGCTCCGCAGAATGACCGAGCTCAGCTGCATGCCAGATGTTTTCTCCTGCACCATTCTTCTCAAGGGTCTGTGTGATGAGAACAGAAGCCAAGAAGCTCTCGAGCTGCTGCACATGATGGCTGATGATCGAGGAGGAGGTAGCCCACCTGATGTGGTGTCGTATACCACTGTCATCAATGGCTTCTTCAAAGAGGGGGATTCAGACAAAGCTTACAGTACATACCATGAAATGCTTGATCGGAGGATTTCACCAAATGTTGTGACCTACAGCTCTATTATTGCTGCGTTATGCAAGGCTCAAGCTATGGACAAAGCCATGGAGGTACTTAACACCATGGTTAAGAATGGTGTCATGCCTGATTGCATGACATATAATAGTATTCTGCATGGATATTGCTCTTCAGGGCAGCCAAAAGAGGCTATTGGAACACTCAAAAAGATGCGCAGTGATGGCGTCGAACCAAATGTTGTTACTTATAGATCACTGATGAATTATCTTTGCAAGAATGGAAGATGCACCGAAGCTAGAAAGATTTTCGATTCTATGACCAAGAGGGGCCTAGAGCCTGATATTGCTACCTATCGTACCCTGCTTCAGGGGTATGCTACCAAAGGAGCCCTTGTTGAGATGCATGCTCTCTTGGATTTGATGGTACGAAATGGTATCCAACCGGATCATCATGTATTCAACATTCTAATATGTGCATACGCTAAACAAGAGAAAGTAGATCAGGCAATGCTTGTATTCAGCAAAATGAGGCAGCATGGATTGAATCCGAATGTAGTGTGCTATGGAACAGTTATAGATGTACTTTGCAAGTCAGGCAGTGTAGATGATGCTATGCTTTATTTTGAGCAGATGATCGATGAAGGACTAACCCCTAACATTATACTTTCTGTTTCCTCAGTCTTATTCTAAAAATAATTTATACTTTCTGTTTCCTGTTAGTGATGGCTATAACCATTAGATGGCTTTTTACAAATTTAGATGATAATTATCATTGTTCAATTTATTGCTGAAATTCTTATCTGTATGCATCATTGTTAACACAGCGACAACCAGGAAATTAGTTCTTCTTGAGCTAATCATTTCCCTCCCTAGTTCTGTCATACCTGTGCGGCTATATTACTGTCAGCTGCTTATGATGGCTGCAAAGCTATTTCTTTTGTAGGATCCTGAGTTCTACAAGTATTTGGAGAAGTGAGATAAAGAGCTCTTGGGATTTGACGATGATGACTTTGATGTAACACAAAACTATTTAATTAATTATTTTTCATTTTTCTGGTGTCTTCCCTGCTGCTTGATATGCTGGAAATGGAAGAACTTGGAGGGAAACCAGATGCTGTAGGCAAAGCTGTGAATCTGTTCAGTGTTAAACAGGTATATTTTCTCGTAATACAACACTTCCTTTCGGAGCACTACTTTGAAAAACCTTTTAATAGGTACTTTTTTCTGGCAGGTAGATAAGAAAACAGTGAAGACGCGTGCCTTTCAGGAAGCATGCATCTTTTCCGCGGTTGATGAGTTGGGCTAAGCATTTGGCCCAATGGAGAGAGATCAAAGATCTTATCCATCAGGTTTGTGCCTGTTTTTTATTCTCTTTTCCAAGAGGTTTTCCACCGGTTTTTGGTGTAAATGTTAGCATGTTTCTAGGTGTAAATTGATTCCCATGCATTGCTATATAATCTTGGCCAATGGTTTTTAGTGCCTGTTTTCAAATTTGGTTAGCTGTCAGTCAGGAGGTGCATGCTATTAAATTTACTTTTGCCGATGCAAAACTGTCCATTTTCAGTTTTTGAATTCATAAAACTCCATACTAGCTTGAAGAATATTAGCAATACTAGCTTTCTTCCAAGCTAACCATTAGTTGTTAGAGAAGAAGGCAACGCTCAAAATGTCCTTTTTAGTTTTTATGTTTGTTCTGCAGACACTTGTCTGTAAATTTGAAATTAATTAAGCAGGTTTGGATAAGCTGCTTACTTTTAATATGTATAGACTTCAAATATCCTTTGGCTGATTGCATCCAAAATTGCTACGGAAAGTCTGAAATTTTGTTTAGATCATGCCAATAATGCATGCAGAAAAGTTTATTTTGGTTTTATAGGCAGGCTACAGGCATGACATTGCTGGGTCAATGGCTTGAAAGCTGAAACAGTAACCTACAATATGGAAGTAACTAAAACGCTGGGCATTTTGCTTTCAAATTTTTGAATGCCAGTTATGTTTGACAGTCCTTTGCACTTTGCATTTAATCAAGATGTCCATATCTCGGGTAGATAAATTGTTTATCTTTTATGATATCAATTGGATATTCGAAGTCACATCCTACTACTACTAATTTGATGATGCATTAGTTTCGATCACAAGCATGTTTTTTGGCAGATTGATATCAGAAATTAATGGGAGGATGGTGGTGTGCTTGCAAGGCTGGACGTTTGCTACCAGAGGAGTGTCCTGTAATACAAGGCATGCAGTTCAGTGTCCTGTAATAGGAGTGAATCGGTGTAATTTCTGAAGAAATTACGCGTTTGCTTCCCTCTGATTTCGCGTTGGGGGGCAACATGGCTTTGCGCCTGAAGATTAGTAGTATTAGGGTAACAGATTGTTGAGCTAATATTTGGTGCCGCATCGGAGAAACTGAATAGTATATGTTGTTAACAGAGAGGCTCATAGCTGATATGTGCTCTTGATTGTGTGCTCAGTTTAATTACTGTCAAATTTAACGAGAGTAAATTCATCCCATCAGTGTTTGTAATTTCAGCCCAAATGCACCTGTGAGTTAGGCCCAAAGTGGTCCCAAAATCTGCCTAAACCTGGCCCAAATTCGGTCGGTAGTGTCACACAGTTTCACTTATCGCGCGGCGGTTATCGCACTTACCGCGGGGGTACGGTAGGAGAAACCGGTGATATGGTTTAGTTGAATTTTGACCAAATTTAAAATTCCAGAAAAAATAAAAAAAATTGAAAAAAATCATGGATGTTGTTCTTTAATTGTACCTGCCAATGGTGAAGAAATTTTTTGAAATAGAGTAAGTTAAATTCAGATTTGAGGATAAAACCAAAAATAGTTTACAAATTGGAAAAAGGAAGACAATATTAGGCCTTAAGTATCCTACATATCCTTCCAATTATTCTCAATTTCTAGTTTTCTACACATATTTAGCCATATTTTTGTTTTTTTCCTATTTATTTTTCATTTACATGATTTCAGCTATACAGCCCGCGATAACCGCGACCGTGCGATGTCACGGTTATCGCGGTAAACCATGCGGTAACCACGGTGAAATCGCGAAACCGCCAAGTTTTGAATTCGAATTTTTGGATGTGATGTTTGTACAATTTTAGATAGTTATCGCGCTACTGCGGGGTGGCGGTAACCCCGGTCCAAACGATAAGGTAAACCCTGGTCGCACAAATTTGACCTAAAAACCAACCGGTTATCGTGCTACCACGGGGTGCCTCAGTAGGACCTTATGTCATGGGTTCAACTCCTCATGGGAGCGAATTTTCTAGGAATTAGTGGCATTGTGCTTTTCAACGGTAGGCGACGTACCGGTTGACAACGAGGCGCCTGTGATGACTTCGTCAATTTCAAGGATGATTTGTCGGCCCAATCTTCGAAGATTATAGGGGTAGGGTTTGCGCACGTGCGTTCATAAGGGTGAGTGTGCATATGTTATGAGTGTTTGCGTTATACTGTATAATTCTAAAAAAACAATAATCATCCCATAACTTTCGACCCGAAAACGAACGTCAATTCGACCCAAAAGTGCGTCTAAAGTTATCCCCTTTCACATCCATGGTAAATTTAAAGTTTATACATTAATGTGATTTAAAATTTAAAATTATTTGAAATGTGTATAAAATAAATTATCTAAATATTGTCAAGGTAGTCATAGATATAGATCATGAATTTATGTTGCTAGAAATATCCAGCTTATAAAAAAAATCCTAGATACATGGCTGTAGCAAAAGAGATTTAGATTTTATCTCAATTTCCGTTAGCATTTTTTCAATTAATAATTTGTTAAGTTTGTAATAATTTAAATCTAATCAATTATGTGCTAATGAATTTCTGTTTTACGTTACATCTATTTCAAACATCACCTTAGAGCAGGTAGAATATTGAATTATAAGTCAGCTATAAACATATATCGAGGAGATAAAAGAAGAGAGAGATAAGTAGCGGGCTACAGATTTATAGCCAGCTGCAGCACAGACTTCACGATGCAATGTGCGTACAGTCTAACATATACCTTTACATATAACTATTGTATGAATTGAGGGTGTGTTCGCAGTTGCTAGTTCCCAACTAGGGACAGTACGCACGTGATTAATTAAGTACTACTCCCTCCGTTTTATATTATAAGTTTTTCTAGCATTGCTCACATTTATATAGATGTTAATGAATCTATACATAATATCTATATAAATATGGGCAATGCTAGAAAGTCTTATAATATAAAACGGAGGAAGTATTAGCTAATTTTTTTTTTAAAAAATGGATTAATTTGATTTTTTAAGTAACTTCCGTTTCGTGTAGAAACTTTTTTAAAAACACACCGTTTAGCAGTTTGAAAAGCGTACGTGTGAAAAACAAGAAAGAGAGGTTGGGAAAAGGGGCATCCGAACACAGCCCGAGTATAAATGATTTGGAGCTGGTACCAGTACCGGTCACACGCGGACGCGGTGCGCCGACCGTCCGACCCAACCCCAGCCCCAGCACGAATCTCAACGCGACGCCCCCCCCCCGGCGGGGGCGCCCGCCCCGACGCGGCGAAGCAAGCAATCCTCCTCCTCCTCATCACACAACACAAAGACGACTGACTACTCCTGTGGACGGCTTCCAACTTCCCCCAATTTTTCTCTCTTTTTTTTTTCTTCCTTTCCTTCGCCGCGAAGCACTCCACCGCCGCCGCCGCCCCCGATCTCTTCCTCCGGCGGCCGCCATGTCGTCGGCGGCGAACGTGATGCTGGCGATCCACGAGAAGAGGACCACCCCCACCGACCTCTACCGCCCGCTCCGCCTCTACATCGCCTCCGCCTACTCGGAGCGGGAGGCGGCCGCGGCCGACGACGACCTCGCCGCGGTGCGCGACCTGCGCGCCGACGTCGAGCAGCCGTCGCTCCCGGACCCGTCCTCCCTCGAGCGAAGGCGGGACGCGCTCCTCGCCTACGCGCGCGCCCTGTCCCTCGTCGAGCCCCGCTTCCCCATCTCCTCCGACCGCGCCCACGTCCACTCCCTCGCCTTCACCTGGCACGACGCCTTCAAGACCGGCAAGAAGGCCAGCGTCGCCTCCATCCACCTCGAGAAGGCCGCCGTGCTCTTCAACCTCGCCGCCGTCTACTCCCAGATCGCGCTCGCCGCGGACCGGGCCACCGACGTCGGGATCAGGACCGCGTGCGGCTCGTTCCAGAGCGCGGCGGGGGCGTTCGCGTGGATGAGGGAGAGCGGCGTCGCCGCCAAGGCCGTCGCGGCCGGGGCCACCACCGTCGACGTCACCCCCGAGTGCGCCGCCATGCTGGAGAAGCTCATGCTCGCGCAGGCGCAGGAGTGCTTCTTCGAGAAGGTGATAGCCGGTGGGAAGCCGCCCGCGCTGTGCTCCAAGGTTGCCCGGCAGGTGAGCCTCTTCTTGCTCTGCCTCCTCTTGTTCAGGTTATTTCGATGATATGAGCTGATAATAATGTAGTGAGGGAGCTTATTTCGATTTATGTGGCTAGTATTTTGGAATGCTTTTTGTGGAGTCGTTTGATGGGGATACTGTCTGTAATTACCATCCACAGGTGACTTAACATAGCAACTTGTAGTTTTGGGAATTTGTCTAAATAAGTGCTCCTTTAGATGCTATCTTTAGTGTTGATAATAATAATTGGACTTTGCTATGGTGATTGGTGAACCATTGGGCATGAAGTCTGTCTTGATAGCATGATAAACTTGAGTTGTGGCATCATCCCATGGAGTGATCATATTTTAAATGAAACTGACTGGTTACAATATGATTGATTTGGTAGCATTCATGTGTCTCTCCTGGTGGTAAATAGAAGCTAGATTAGGTCTTGCAGTTTATTTGATTAAATAAAGTACAATTTGCAGGGTTTACTGCTTTTACAAACATTCAAGATACAAATATTTCTTCACCTTTTTGTAATATTGGTGTCAGATGTGCTATTGGATTGATTTGTGGATGTCCCTTTTTCAGGTGGGCATATTCTATGAAGAAGCCTATGCAGCTCTTAGCGCAGCTCCTCTCAGTCAGCACTTTGATAAGACATGGGTTTCTCATGTCCAGCTGAAGGCAGCTCAGTTCTATGCTGATGCTTGCTATAGGTGTTCTTTGGATCTTCACGAGAAAGAAGAAATTGCACAGGAAATTGCACGTCTGAAGATTGGAATTAGCGCTTTGGCAGATGCCAAGAAGGTGGCCAGGGGAGTTGCTGCCCCACTTCTTGATTCTGTTAATAAGCTGGAGAGTAATATGAAGACCAACTTGGAGAGGGCTATGAAAGAGAATGACCGTGTTTATCTGATGAGGGTTCCGGATGCTAGTTCTCTTGGCGCGCTCCCTGCAGCATCACTTGTAAAGCCTACATCTTTGGCTGAAGTTCTAGATGCTAGCAAAGAGAGGCTTTTTTCATCACTTGTGCCTGATGGAAGCATGAAAGCACTTTCCAAGTACACTGAGATGGTAGATAACATCATCAGGACTCAAGCGGAGAAATTACAGCAAGCTAGTGAGATCACTAGAGTTAGGTTGAAGGAAATGGACTTGCCCGATTCCATTCTTTCATTAGAAGGTAATATCACCTTACCTTTAGATTTGAAGGAAGACGTTGAGGCTGTTCAGATAAGCGGAGGCCCTGCTGGATTGGAAGCGGAGTTGCAGCAGCTTAGGGATTTAAGCAGAGTCAATCAGGAATTACTTGTTCAGACCGAAGAGATGCTGCAGAAGGAGGCGAATGAAGATGCTCAGTTTCGGACGCAATTCGGGAGTCGTTGGACTAGACCTCAATCTAGCACCCTAACAAAAAACATTCAAGACCGATTGAATCTGTTTGCTTCTAATCTTAAGACAGCTGGTGATAGTGATTCTCAGATTGAGCGAGGTTTGAAGGAGAGCTATCCATTGATATCTATTCTTGACAGAAGACCGGTGAGAGTTAAAAATACATTATACTAGATAGTGTTCTTGTTTTTTTTTTCTTCAACTTGTCTTTCTTGATATGCTTCATTATGAATTTCAATGATGTTATTCAATCCTACACTCTTTTTTTTTTCATATTTGGTCTGTTACATATTGCTATTATATATTGCAGATAGAGTCTGCACTACCGAGTATTTCTAGGCCTATTATGTCCTTGGATGGGAATGAGGATGCTATTGTTGGAGCCCTTAAACAAAGCTTGGTAATCTACATTGTTTTTGTTAGCTGGCAAGTTTGATGTAAAGCTTCACTTGTTTTAAAACTTAAAAACCAATTTGATGTGCTTTTACAGAGGCAACTAGAATCTCTAGGAGCACAGAGAGCAGGTCTTGAAGACATGCTTAAAGAAATGAAGAGAAAGGTACTATCTTTTATTGCTTATTTTGATATCGTGTACATAAACTACTATAAGTCCCAGACATATGTTATGACAGATTAGGAATTTCTTTTGTTCAGTATTAGCTTGTTGATAATCATGTAGTTGACTTTTGTTTTATGTTTAAAAGCTCATGCAAATATTCTGATTCTTCTACATTTGGTCGT